CTCTCTCTCTCTCTCTCTCTCTCTCCTCTCTCTCCTCTCTCACTCTCTCTTTAAAAAAAAAAATTTAAAAAAAAAATGATAATATTAGAAGGTGAGGCCTTTGGAAGAGCACTTCCCTCAGGAATGAGGTTAACCTCTTATAAAGGAGACCCCAGAAAGTATCCTTACACCTTCCACCACGTAAGGCCACAGTGAGAAGAAGGCTGTCAGTGAGGAAGTCGGCCCTCACGAGGAAATGAACCACTTTGCTTTGATCCTGGGTCTTCAAGACTCTGGAAGTATGAGAAATGAATATTTGTTTTTGGTTTTTTGGTGGGAGTGGGAACCAGGGATTGAACTCAGGAGCACTCAATCACTGAGCCACACCCCCAGCCCTATTTTGTATTTCATTTAGAGACAGAGTCTCACTGAGTTTCTTAGTGCCTTGCTTTTGCTGAGACTGGCTTTGAACTTGGGATCCTCCTGCCTCAGTCTCCTGAGCCGCTGGGATTACAGGTGTGTGCCACCGTGCCTGGCTCAAATATGACAAGCACCCAACTTGTCATATTTTATTATAGCAGCCAAGATAATAATCCTTGGCTTTTTTTAATAATTTGTATCACAAAGCACCATTCCTTCTTTATTTCTTTAAAAAGATGAAAGAAAACCCTACTCTTAGAAAGGATAGCAGCATGATGGTCTACATTATTGAAGTTGTTTGATCAACTTCTTTTTCACTGTGTGCACCTGAGTTATAAGTCTGCTGATTCAAACAACTCTGTCCCCTACTTTGTCATCCATATAATATAAATAAATATAATTTCCTTATTGTTCCAGAGGTAATGCTGAATGATAGAATACTTTAATTCTTTTGAAATGAAAACTTCATCTGTTATATAACAGCTAACATTTATTAAGTAACTAAAATGTGCTAGACCTGATACTAAACAATTTGTAGGGATGCTGTATGGGATAGGTGGGTAGTACTGCTATTTGCATTTAATGGATAAAGGAACTGACACTGTAAAACATTAAATTACTTGCTCAGAGTTTGAACCAATACATAACAGATCTGGAAACAGAGCCCAAGTCTTTCTGATTACTAAGCCTAAGACCTTAACTGGTAAACTGTATGTCACTATTTGTGGCTCACACCTTGGAAGATGATTTTGTTCATTTAAAACAAAAAATGAATCAGTTAATAAATTACCTTATCAGTACTTTAAGCACACTCCCTGTATATAATAGGTAGTAAAAACGAAAATATGTTCTAGCAAATATTTCACAGGGAAGTATCTGCTTTCAAAGTAGATGTAACAGAGACTGACCTACTTGAATAATAATAATAGTACAGATTTTAAAATTAAATCATGTGTTTTTGTCAAAATGTACATATATATTTTACAATTCAAAATGGCTGTGAAACAAAGTGATATTAAATAATTACTAAAGAAGTATTGCAGAATTCTATAAATGAAATTATGTAAGAAAAATTAATTGAATTCAAATTTTCCAGTGTCTTATTAAAGAAAGTCATATGTAAAAATCATGTGCTGTTTTTCTCTCTTAATTTACTTTTTGTATGAGATGGTAATGTAAAAATCTTATGTTATTTTTGAGGAAGAAGCATGTAAATTTGTTTATTGAGTGTATAAATCATGCTTGTTTTGTCCAAGCTAATCATGTAGAACTTGTCCTAGAGAAAAATTATAAACCCTGTTTTGAAGACCTGAATCTAATCCTTGACAATTAGAATAGATGGTTTCTGGGGGCTGGGGATGTGGCTCAAGCGGTAGCGCGCTCGCCTGGCATTCGTGCGGCCTGGGTTCGATCTTCAGCACCACATACCAACAAAGATGTTGTGTCCGCCCAGAACTAAAAAAAAAAATAAAATTAAAAAAAAAAAAAAAATAGAATAGATGGTTTCTTCTCTTATAAAGTCATTAAATACATTTTGTGTGATTCTAATATTTCTTACATCGTATTTTTCAAGAAGTTTTATTTTTATAGGACTTTGATAGGCATCAGTCAATAAAAGTTACAGATTCCTAGGACTGTGCTTCAAGTTAAAGCGAGTAGTGGACCGTAAGCAGATCAGTGGTTCCTAGAGTCTGGTGCTAGGGGAGAAATTTACTTCTGAAAGACTTAAGGAATTTTTTGAAAGAGGAACTATTGTGTTGTTTATGGAAGTGGTTATTTGATGGTAAGTGGTTATCAAAATTCAAATCTGTATAATAAAAGATAAATTTTACTGAATGTAACATATCTTTTATAATTAATTTTATAATTAATAAATATTAATTATAAAATAAAGTGGATTAAATGTGTATCATTGCCAAAAGCATCAACATTTTTCCTCCGGTAGCTTTGTATACAGCACTTAGTTATCTTTTAGTGAAAGTAACTTGATGAGTCACTACTCACTTCTTACTTGACACTTAACCACTCCAGTGTTTATAGGCCTAGAGAGGTGGAACAGTACTTGAATTGAGTTAATAACATTCATCTAAAGTTTCTCACATAAAATTCAACATCCTTTTATTAAAAATATGGTTCAGAGAGCATTAGTGACTGCCTAAAATCTTGTTTTTTGTTAAATGAACTGAGATACCTGGTTATTTCCACCACTGTTTTTGTTTGTTCCTGGAAGCAATAGACTAACATCTCTACCACGCGGCCTGCGCAGTGGTTTCATTAATGAGGTTCTAGGCATAAAGTTAGTTAGACGAGATCGAAATAAAAACACAAGACTCAATT